TGTGTGTGTGTGTGTGTGTGTATGTGTGTGTGGGTGCATGCGAGCGTGAATATGTGTGTGCACGCATATGTAACACTATGTGCCTTTAAAATGTATTTGTAAATCCATAATATTGTATCATTTTAAGCGCATAGAGCATGCATTAGTGGATATGCGCTATATAAATGCAATCCATTATTATGTATTATTAAGATTTTTTTCAAATCCAGTATCAACGTCTATACCGCTTCGAGGATGTTTTCATCCCCTGCATGGAGGATCCTGTATCTACGTCTGTTCCCCTGCGAGGATAATTTATTTATCCTGTATCTATATCTGTTCCCCTGCGAGGATAATTTATTTATCCTGTATCTACGTCTGTCCCCTGCGAGGATGTTTTTTCTCCTGTAAGGAATTTTTTTTTTTTATCCAGTATCTACGTGTATTCCCCTGAGAGGAGGTTTTATCATTAAGTATCTACGTCTAAATTAATCCCTTGTAAGTACTTTTTTTTATCTAGATCTAGTATATCTACGTCTGCCTGCTGGTATATCGTATCTCTCTCAGCCTAGGCTGGTCCTGACAGACAGGGTTGAAGCAGCAAAACTGTTAAATAGTCAAAACTGTGTCGATGGAGGCGTTTAGAAAAACATATCGATTATTGCACTTGACTTTCATATCGTATCTGTAAAGGGAAAATCATTCCTGTAACTAACAAATGATGTTGGTAGCCCTTTCTACTTTTCTGGTATGTTTTTTTTTTACACTGACCTTGATATCAAATGGATCCATCCTAATCTTGACTTTGTAGAAGTTGTCCAGACTCTTTATAATGAGGGTGCCGGGCTCCTTGAAGATGTATTTGGTACGGGTGGACAGGCACACAAAGTTTAGCTGGGTTTCTGTTAGGTTTTCTCCTTTGTTGCCATACTATGGGATAAAGAAACGACATTTTTTTTATTTTCAGAGAGCTACAGAATTTGGGGGGGGGGGTGTTGTTACTTATTATCAGTTAGAGCTTTACAAAAAATAATATTAACATACTATTGGCCAGCTATTCAGATGTGCTAAGCCCAAAATTGAGATTTTAAAAAAATTCCATTGCAGTTTCTTCATCTGTGGTATCGGCTGCGTGCACTCGAGAAAACGTTTGTCAAAATTCAGATTCTAAAAGTTGAAAAAAATATTTTTTACAGATAAATATAATTCACGTATGGTAAAACTGTTTTTAAAATAAGGTTTTTTTTCTCTCTTTTGAAAAAAATTGTATTCTGGACCTGGGGCATTTGAACAACTTGCCCACGATATAAATACTGATTTCTTGCTTTCTGTTTCCTGTGTATTTTTTGGGTTTTTGTAGCATTTTTTTAGGTGGGGTAGGGGGGGGGGGAACTCAGAAAAAGGGAAGATGAAGCCATATTATATACACATTTTGCATATGTAATCAAAACTTAATATAAAAACATTCTCAGAGTAGGAATGAGAACACAAGCTTATGTTACTTTTTATTTTATATTTCATCTATACTTTGGACTGCTCAGCTATGAAGATTGAGACTTTATATTCTTTAATTATTAATGTAAAGTTCAGTGTCAAGTTGACCAAATCTATAACAAAATGTCCCTAAAAATATAAACTACTTTTAATACTCATTTTAAAAATAGCTGTATTGACTCAAATATTTTTAAAGAATATTCCCTTAATAGCAAAGCAGCTGGCTTGAAATAACACACATAAAAAATCGAGGCCAATACCCTAAAAACTCCTCTCTTCAGAAGAGCTGGATTGATAATCCACATTTTCATTTCGGGGGCCTTTGGACGGTAGATAGTGGCCATGACGGACATCTCAAGCTCCTCCTCACGTGAGGTGATTACAGCAAAGTTAATGTAAGGCAGTCCAATGGCCTCACTATCTGTAAAAGAGAATACAGCAGCGTTTTAGTAATGTAGACTTTATAATAACCCTACATTTCGACTAGGATACAAGTCAAAGCAAATGTATTCTTTTGTTAAAAAGCTACAGAAAAATGTGCAATTAACATCAAAAAGTTTAGAAAAAAAACATTACCTTTCTTTTTAATTTTTGTCCCCGAAGTTAATTTTATACCAACACAATAGTCTTGTCCCAGGAAGTTAGGAAAACGTTTTGAAAGAGCGCAAATAGGCATCACATTTCCAAGTTGGAATAGAGGTCACAATAAAAAATTGACTTGTTTATCCAAAATGTATGCCTCCTTCAGGTAAATATCTAATACTCCCATCTATAAATTAAAATTGTAGTTATTACAACCAATTTCTCAATCCCCCTCCCCTCTCCACTAGACGTATATTTTACTTGACTAGTGCAACATCCCTCCACTTAATCTTGACTATAATATAACTGTCACATTACACACTTACAAACGTTCTCTTTCTACCTCAGTCCATTTCTGCTGGTCAGTCTGTCAGTCTGTCAATTTCTTTTTTCTCTCTCACAAAAAGATACTCACAAGCATTCTGGCAGGGAGCTGCCAGCACATAATTGCAGTCATAGTCAAAGAGGGCAGGTCTGTTGCTGAATCCATTGAAGTCAAACAAGTAGCCGTTGGGGATTTGCGGGCCGACCATGGTGCATGTTTTTGAGGCTGAAGTAGGGACCGTGCTGAGATGAGATCAACTACAAAGACCCTTTTAACGGGACATGGACTGATCACAAAGAATTTGTAAAAATCTACCCGGTTTTCAATAACCGGGGAATTTGATTACAAGATAAAATTCCTTTAAGGACATGGACTGACCTCATGACATTGCTGCATAACATTTGGAAAACAGCAATGGTAACAACCGTTGCTATCTGCAGTCTTTGGCGCAAGATAATTGTCACATCATTATGCACCTGACTTACAGCTCATCGTGTCACTGAGAACTCGTCTGTGAGGCAAGGCGGTCCAAAACACAAGATTTGAATTCATTAAACCAATGAAAATATTTCATCCTCTCATTGAGAAGACTGAAGTAACAAGTATAAACTTTGTTATGTTCTCACCAAGCTAATGGATTAAGCTATTTTGGTTTACATTTTGTGATCAGCTGAAACCATAGTAAACAGGAAAAGCTGATGAACGCTATTCTGTTAAAAATATGACCCTGGAAATGTGTATGTTTCAATGGAGAGTGAAGTTTGGGATGTCAAAGAAACACCAGCCACTAATAGTTTTCAAATGCAGTCCCTGTGAGGACCAACAAGCTGAGGGGATGCCTTACGTACAGAAAACTTTTACATGATGGTCAGCTCATAAACACTTCTGTGAATAGTCTCTGAGTGATATATCATGTCATGCACTTTGCTATACGGGAATGTATGCCACCACATGCAGTGCATTGTGTAAGTGAATTTATTTGTGCTATTATCTCATAGTATGATGATTCACATTATGAACCCCCGGTCGTATATTTTCCATAGCAACAGTTGTCAAGGCAAAGTTCATTGTCTCAAACTTCCGCTACACAGAGATGGCAGGACCAAAGTTCTACCCAACTGACTATTGATATACTCATTTAAACCTGTATCGACAAATGTATTAAAAATCTGTTAGACAATGAAGTAAATTACTCCACTCCCAGTTCGTTGGCTAAAATGTATTCTTTTTCATATAACATAAATAATATTATATCATCCTCAGTTTCTGGCCCCATAAAGATCCTGGCACTGGCCCATGCATCCCTTTGCCAGCCTTTCCTGGATCTGATTCTGTTGGAGCCTTGTCGTCAGAAAATGTGAGGACCACCCACAGCTCCCAACAATTTACCAAACCTGTACTATGGATTTTTAAAACGGTTTTTCAATCTGAATCTGAATCAACCCTTTTGTAAGTTTATGAACGCTGATGTTGTACTACCTGGACGACAGAAACCGTGCGTGTAGGATGGCTGACCTGCTCTGCATGTGGCTCAATTTTATCAATCCATTCATTGTTCAAATTATAAGTGAAACACGTTTTAAAAAATTAAAAATATGGTAAAATGGAAATGTCTTCTTCATTACTGTACTCTTTATAACAACTGATTGTAAATCTATCAGGCAACAATAATTTACAATGGGTAAGTAATGATATTATATAACCCATATTCCCCAGGATATGCCGAATATGATTTCAATGTATCCTGAAATTATTCCCTTATTTTTATTTTCAGAGCAAAGGACCAGTGTGCTTATTTATAACGTTTTGTAGAGAATGTAATCAGAATACCATTTTGTTTTGTCAGAAAATTGATCCATTGATATATTTAATTGTACGTCCACCAAGAATACCAAATCGCCCAGGTTGGCAAGCATTGGTGTAATGTATTATCATATTATATTTATATCAGTGTGTTGTTGTTTTTCTGATCAAATACACATTTGTATAAACATCACATAAGTTCTGATTCAGGATAATGTTTTCTCAATGCAAGCAAATCATAGTGTGAAGAATATTGTGTTGCCTCAAAATAAGTTGAGGTGCTTATTGTTTTTCATGCTGGTGTAAAGCAGATATAACCAAGATATAATTAACTAAATATTGCATATTTCAAATGAAAAATTAAATATGTTAAGTAAAAATGTTATATCTTGCTGCAACAATATATCAAATAGAATTTCTTACTTCTTGGAGAAACTTGAAGTTGCAAATGCGTTGTCATTTTTCAAAATGATACTTCATGCAGTTTTTGCACAAGTCGTCAAACTTTGCAGAACTACACAACCCAAAGTTAATGTTCAGGGAGCTAATTTAATTTCCACTAGTTTGATATGAATTCAACACAGTTCATGAAGACAGCTGAGTTGTAGCATCCAATAAAAAATATTACCCTCAATGTGCAAAGGACAAAACCCAGAAAAACCAATTTTTTTTAGAATTAAGGTGTGCACATGATGTAACTTTATTGAAAACGAGTCAAAACCAGCAGCACTCATAGAATCTCAATGCTAAACAACTTTGGATTTGGACAATTAGCATCATATGCATACCTTACAATAGCAGTACTAGGATTCCAAGAAATCACAGCTAAGGTTAAGAGATCTTACGTCTACAACGTCCATTGACCATAAGAGGCATTTCCTTGGGACACTTGCACTTGTAGGCTCCGATTGTGTTGATGCATTTGGTGTTACCAGTGCAGTCATCAATACCCAAGGCACACTCATCAATATCTGAGGAATGCAGCATATTAAACAATAAAATCAAAACACACTATTTATCTAAAAGTACATTAAACAAGTTATACTTTATAGTAGAGAAACTTTTATTTTGGAAACCATGTCTGCTTTAGAACAGGTTTCCTGTCTCAGTTACTGTTGTAAACATATCGGCTAGTGGAAGAAACATAGCATATCAAATTTGGGAACATTCCAGCGAGACAAGCAGAAACAAAAAGTTAGCTAAAGATTGACTGTTTCATGGCACTGTGATCACCAAGGGAATTCATTAGTGTAAACCTTTTTAACTATAGCAATATCTTATTAGGAACAGCATAGGGGATTTCAGGGACAGATTACTTGCTTTTTCAACAAAACAGTAGGCGCATAGAAAGTACCTACTATTCTTGGACAGACCATAAAAATGACAATCCTATTCAGATCCAAATCTTTAACTTCACTGTGTTAGCCGAGTTGACAACTGTACAAGCCACAGTAGCCAGCCTCTAGTAGTTTCCTTCTTGAATCAAATCTCCAAATACAAAAGATATTGTAACTTTACCTTTAATACACTGTACTTCCACATTTTTGTCTATGCAGGCAGCACCTTCATCGCAAGAGTAGAGAAGACCTTCAACGTTGAGCTCACATACTCCATTCACTGTGGCTCCAGTAGCAGGTTTACCTTTAACTACATTGCAACGCACAGCCATGGGTTTAGGACAGATCAAGCATTTGTTGTCCTGCCAACAGATCGAAAATAATTATAATTATAATTATAAGGATAATTGCATTATACAAAGTGCATATCAATGCTCTACAGCATGCACTATGACCTTTACAACCCCAGCAGACCCTCAAGCACTACAAACCCGACAAGATCATACACTGCCTAAAGCCACATGACCCATTCCCAACAGGGTAAAGTGAGGAAACTTAGTAAAGTGCTTTTCCCCGACGTGATTCAAACCTGCCCCCTTATAGTTGTGAGTCCGATAGCCTAACCACTATGCTACTAATGCCACAAATTGAGAAAAGTAGCAAAATGGGAAGAAACCAGTTTGCTTGGCAAGACAGCTGGACCTGAGAAAACCTTTGACAATACTGACATTGGTAGGAAACTTAAATTCAGAGGTTTACTATAGCAAAATCAAGCCATCCTGATAAAAATAATAGAGGCTTTCTTTCTTAATTTCTATGCATTGTCCCTCCGCAGTGGAATGTAGCCCTTCATCAATGACATACACTCTGATCTATTGACTGTTCGCTGCATCTGCTCTCTAATGTCATCTTGCCACCTTTTTTCTCACCTTCCTCTTGATCATTGTTGTGTCCTTGGTCTCTCTTTGGTGTATCTATTTCTTCATCAGTTATCCGTCATTTTACCAATGTAACGAGCCCATTTTCTATTTTGTAAAGGAAAACATTTAGGGATATCTGCCATTCATGTTTAATTTCATATTTTTACATGCATTTGTATATATCATGTATTCTGATACCAAGCATCTTCCTTTTCATTGATCTCTGCGTTGTCCTTACTTTATATTTTTAGTAATTAGGCAGGTTTAATACACATAGCTTATTACAGGAGATGCAGAGACAACAAGGGTGGTGGTCTCTCTCTCTCTCTCTCTCTCTCTCTCTCTCTCTCTCTCTCTCTCTCTCTCCCATCTCTCTCTGTCTCTCTTTCTATCTCTGTCTGTCTCTCTCTCTCTCTCTCTCTCTCTCTTCTGGTGCTGTGGCGTCATAAACGGTCAGCAATGCTGACAGCACGCAGGAACTGAAACACTTGCTCGGGGGTCCTTAAAAAGAGCTGAACGTGGATCACTGAAATGTCCCAGCAGATGTGTCATGGCACGATAACAAAGATGGGGGGACCATGAGGTCCCCCGAGCTGAGAGACGTACCAGTAGCAGGCTGGACAACAGCTCCTGATCTCCATCATCTTCCATGACGCTGTCTGTGTTGCAAGGGCCATACCAGTCTTTGTCTTTCTCATCTGGTGTTCCTACAAGTTGACAAATGAATGGGCGTTTAATGAGTGTATTAACAATATTCACCTATAAAACTACAAAGTACCCATTAATTTGGCACTACATAAAAGTGAAAAATAACAGTCATGTCTATGTAGTTTTAAACTGAACTTTTGTTTAAAAGGATCATCAGTGTTGTTCCAAGAAATAAAATAAAAGGACACCGCAAAAAAACAACATTATTGTATATTTCTCCCTTAAATTGGTCGCTTTTAAGCACAAGGGGGCTATCCCGAAAAATGCTATTTTAAGAAAATCAAGTTAAATTTTTTGCCCCTTGTTCAGTTTCTTTTAAAGACAAAGAGAGTCTTCTCTATAACCAAACAAATATACACACCAATGAAACCAAACTTCTCCTATAGGTAGGGCAACGACCACTTTTGGTGTAGATCAAGATTTCTGGAAACCCCCAAAACCTGGGTTAGCCCGCTTGTCCTTAAAAGCAACCAACTATAACTTTGGTGACGAACAACATTCATGATTTATACTGTTATAGAATACTCGGTGACATTTGTTGTCACATCGTGATGTCCCCCTTTACTATTTTAATGAATCCTACAGGCTAATGACATCTCAGGACCCAGCTGCATTGTTACTTAACAAAACTGTGGACCACAAATCAGACGCCCGTATATTACAGAAACAAAGTTGTTAAGAACAATTATCCATCTGATTATAATTAAGAGACATTGATTTTGAGAGCATCTCCTCTCAAATAAGTACTGTTTCCCGCCTGAGAAAAAAATGAAGCTTATACAATTGCATTTGATGCTCTGCTGATAGTTTTTAAAACACTTTATTTCTTTCTTTTTGCCTTTACCTTAGTTATAGCATTTGTGCCATTTTCTTAACATCAAAAGCATAATCAAGGGTAAGTGAACTGTACTCCAGTTGTCAAATTCTCTGCTGCATTTCAAAGTGTGATAAGAACCTCATCAGCTTTGCTTCAGAAAAGGGCAAAACGATTCTTGTAAGCTGTCTCTCTTGGAAACTGATGCTCAAATTCAAAAGAATGTGAGACTCAAACCATAGACCTATCAAGAAAAAAAACTGGAATGTTGTTAATATCACGATACATGGTTAATATTTGAACCACAGACCTTCATTTTGAAGTTAACCGTAAGACTGACAAGCACTGATCCATTGCCTGTTCTCTTGGTGAGAATAAAACTCAAGTTCAACACTAGGTACTTACTCTGCTCACAGGCAAAGTTGGATGGCGTGGTGGTTGGTACCGCCAGCACAATGACACCTTCTCCACTCTCATCCAACCTGACCACCAGGCCAAGAACGATGTCTTCTGCTGACGAGATCACAGTCTGTGGAGAGAAGTCATCGCTGACCACTGCCACGGAGAGCAGGTAGTCCGGGACGTGGTAGTTGGCGTACTCCACTTTGTCTTGCTGAGCAGGGGTGAGGAAAGGCCTCAATTTGATCTCTTCATTTTCATCTACGGTTACTTTCACTTTGCCAGACACATACAGGGACTCTGTGAAAGAAGTGAAAAGAACATAGGCACTAAAAGAAACCAAACACATAAGATTTTTCAAATGAACGAAGACAGAAGTTTGAACAGTCACCACCTGGACAGAAGAAAGCGAAGATCAACTGAGAGGATGTTTTGACTGTACCAACTGGAATGTTTTTATCAAAGCGTGATGTGATAACAATGATTATGTACAACAGTCACAGACTATGTTAAATTTTGTGTAGATATAGTGGCTCTTAAAAAACAAGTTACCATCTTCCCTAACTCTAAACCGTGGGTAAATTCTGGAGTCAAAGATCTAATCCATAAAAAGAAAAAGGCTTTTAAAAACCATAACAAAACAGAATATAAAGTCATAGACAAAACTATTAAGAAAGTAATCTGGGTTGAAAAACAGAAATATAAAAAGAAACTGAAAGATCTGTTTCGTTCAAATAACTCTCGAGAGACATGGACTGGGCTTAAGACCATAATGGGCTACAAAAATAAACCAACAAACATGTGTTAACAACGAAGAAAGCTAAGCAAATTAACTAAATGCCTTTTTCTCACGTGTCGACAAAGGCAGTCCGTGTGACTTGCCATGTGTGAACACCGACACAAAAGAAAATAACGCTATTGTTGTTGAAGAACGTGAGGTTAGATGTGTGTTTGGACGTGTGAATGTGAGAAAGGCGTGTGGTCCAGACGGTATGCAACCCAAAATTCTGAAAATGCGTTCAGCACAACTTAGTTTTATTTACACCTACATTATCAACCAGTCGTTGTTGACACAAGCTATTCCCACTATTTGGAATTGTTCTGAAATCGTCCCCCTTCCAAAGAGAGAAAAAATTACTAAAACGAATGACCTAAGGCCAATAGCCATAACATCCATAGTTATAAAATACCTAGACAAAATTGTGCTAAAAAGACAACGAATGTACATAGAACCCATCCAGGACACTCTACAATTCGCATATCGTCAAGGAAGAAGTGTGGAAGACGCCATTCTACTATTTCTTGATAACATATATAAACACTTAGACAAACCAAAAAAACATACTATGGGATCCTGTTTGTTTATTTTTTGTCAGCCTTAAGTACTATCCAGCCAGCTATCCTTTTAAAGAAATTAGAAAACATAGTTGTTAACGTCAATTTAATAGTATGGATTGGCAATTTTCTTACCAACCGAACCCAGTATGTAAAATTAAAACATTCTTCATTGACATACATCACAACAAATACAGGCGCCCCTCAAGGATGTGTTTTGCCACCAGTTTTATTCACACTATGCACGAACAACTGCCAAATAAACAACAGTAACATCAAATTGATAAAAATTGCAGATGATTCAACCATAATTGGGCTAATTCAGGCTGACCATAACGAAACCGCTTACCAGAATTTTGTAGTTCACTTTTCCGAATGGAGTGAAAATCATATTGTTTATATTGCTGCTCATTTATATTATGCATGTGATTGTAAGCCTACGTGTGTGTGCATGTGGGCGCGAATGTGTGCACGCGCGCGCAAGCGGGCGCACGCGCGCGTGTATGTGTGTGTGTGTGTGTGTATGTGCGTGTGTGCGTGTGTGTGTGTGTGTGTGTGTGTACACGTGGTGAAACAACAAGCCAATGTGCCAGGATCTGGTCAATAAAGAAGTATTTTATCTTATTGCTCAACAAAGATAATTCATTAGTATTGCTGCATATTGTATTTGGCCACATATTGAAACAGACATTATGCTATAATAACACACATATATCCTGTAACTAGATCAGCATTTTAAAACAAAAAGTCCTCTACTAAAACATTAGCACCAATTTTATAATAAAATATATGAAACTCAGTTCATTACCAAGGATTGAATTAGTCATTTACAAAAGAGTTAAAACTGGTTATTCAAAGCTTGTAACACATTAAGTTACATAAAGGGCTAGAGTAGTATTAATTTCATTCCTCATTCAGGACAATCTAACAATACATACGAGCTTTGGGCAAAAATAAACTTACTGTATCCTTTTTCTACCATGACGACTCTCAATGCGTTCAATTTGGTCTCTGTGTCCACAAAGCTGAGAGTGCCATCCTGTCTATTGCAAGCTTCCACGGCCTGCCTCCACACATTCTCTTCCTCAGGAGTCTTGATGCAGAGCCCATCAGCGTCGGAATATCCATCTATACAGCCCTCCGAATCCCCTGTATTATGATTGTATGGTGATAGTCAAATGTGATTTAGGTTATCTATCCATAGATAGAATGGAAAAATAATTTCTATGCAGCCGTGTCTGCATTACAGATATCACGTATTGTTTTTTTTAAATGTTATTGTCCTTTTCATGCAATATAAATAGAGCTGGGATTCAGACTTCCCTCTACTTTTAAAGTTTGAATATTGCAGGTTATTATTGTATTTTATAATATTAATATAGAATTCGTACTTCAAACAATGCTGGAAAAAAGGTATGTGATAGCTTTTACAAAATGGCCCTGTAAACTGATACGTTTTTCTTTGGCATAAAAACTAGAAAAAGCATGCACATGAGCAATGTATCAAACAATACGGCATTTTTTACACTAAACCTTTCACTTCTAGAACTACTGGGGAAAAATATTGGTTTATAAACTGAGTGATATTATAGCCTGGTCAGTAGCCAACTTCCATCTCTGATAAATTCATTACCTCTACATAAAATATTTTCACATTGAATGATGTTACAGGATTGTTAGTAGCAAGTTTTTTCTCTCTGATAAAGTCCCCTTAGAAACATTATTATCTTTAAGCTCAAATCCTGACAGAAAGAAAGAAACGAAACACTTACTAATGCAGGTTTTCTTATCCTCTGACAGGACGAATCCCTTGGCACACTCCACAGTGGTTGGGTATCCTGGTACACAGATGAAGTTCAGCTTAAGAGAGTACGGCTCCGCAACAGCTTCAGTCGTTTTATCAGGCAGGACTTTACATGTATAACGTTCTGTACACTCAGGCATCAGAACAGACTCACCGATCTGTGGACAATGATGGGTACTCAAGACTTCGTGGCCCTAAGGTACGCTGTTGGAAATTCCTCGCATGTGTTTTTCAATATAAAATGAGTCACGATGCAATGGAATCAGGCGCTCGTCAGTTTTTTGTCACATTGTGTTATTTGTATTGTCTTATAGCTTGTACATTTGCATTGCTTTCTTTGAAGAAGTTAAGATATGTGCAATTGAAGGAGGTGCGTGTCGCTAGGTGTCAGAAGTAAAATTAGCAAGAAAATGGCCACCAAACTTTTGTGAATTCTAAAGCTTGAGTGTTTTTGGAATCTGTAAAAGTTCATTTTTTGTAACATTAAACACCGCTTTTCAGTAAACTCCACCCATGAATGTGTTTTAAATGGACAAAAAGGTGCTGGCTCAAAAAAGAAAATTTGAAAAAAATTGTCCGATGGACTGAAAAAATGGCTGTTTCTTTGATTTTATTATTTTGATGAGCGCCTAGTTTCACCACGATGCCTTAGAAATGGATACATCAATACAAATAAAAACAATTGAGCTCTTTGACTCAAGCCCTGCCACAATTTTCTTGAAGTCCACTTATTATTTTTGAGTTTTGTTTCTGTAAGCACACTATGTCAGGTAGTCTAAAAACAACTCTAGAGCATCAGAACCTCAAGATTTGTAGAAATTCCAGCTCAAAGGTGTTCTCAGAAAACGTTTGATGCTTCTAACAGGCCATCTAAAAATGGTTCAAATCATCATCCAATGAAAAGGTGCAGTTTATGTACTTGCGTTACCTGAATTAACAACTCTCGTGTGTAGCCAGCATCAACATGAATAATGAAAGATAAAATAAGTAATTAAACAACTGTTGTCACCTCTCAGAATTATCCATTAGTGTTATTCATGATGTTTCTCATTTTATGAGACACACGATACGTTATGAAGTCGCAGGCATGACCACCATACTTAACACCATAGACCTACAGAAAGTAGACTGGATGAGAAAAGTTTAGTGTCTACTCAAATCAGATCTTGAAAGTTATTCCTGTAGGGTAATATCATATTTCAAGTACAAATAACCGTGAGACTAATGTATACAGATACTCACGGTCAAAAGCCAGGTTGAACCGTCGGGCATTGGGACAGAACAACCACACTCCTCCGGTGTGACACACTTCTGTCCTTGTCTCATGAGCCCATCACGGCACACACAGCCTTCTTCAGGAGGTTCCTCACAGATGCCCAGCACAGACACTTCACCACAAGTAGGCTCACACGACGCATCCGAACGGTACATTTCCTTCGCTGTGCAGTTCCAGGCTGTTGGGAAAGTTGAAAAATCAGTAGCTTGTTTTGTGTACCTTACAGATCAAATGAAATAAAAGAAAAGTTTCACATAGCAAAGAAAATACCAAAGAACAAAACAGACAACTTTTTTTTAGATGTTGAAGAAGTTTAGTAACTAACTCTAAACAAAAGCTCAATTGACTGTTGGATAGAGAGTAAATTAAGTAAAGTAAATAAGTTTTTCCAACATGAAGTGAATCAATTAAGAGGCAGAGTGTTTGACCAGTACTAAGGTTATTTGCATTACGACAGAAGTCATCCCATACATATTACAAAAGTCCTTTTATACTTACGGCAGAAGTCATCACGTCTCCAGTCAAGGTACACGCCCTTTGTCAAGCAAATCTGGGCAAATCCTTGGACAGAAACACAGACAGACTCCATCGGATCGGGCTGGTAACAGGCGTCAAAAACACAATTATGAAAGTGCTCTTCCAGGTCCATGCCTGGAGTCTGTTGAGACAACAACAGAGTAAGGATTGTTAGCCCTGTAAGTGCCACAATAAGCTGCAGTTTTGCTTACACAAATATTCAGTGCAGTTGAACCTGCCCGAGCGGTCACCTCTCCATAGCACGCATCCATACTAATGGACACTGTTTTTTGATATCTCCTCATATTTCTTAAAGTTGTTTTGGACTTATGCATAGCAGTCCCAACGGAACGTGGCCACAGACAGTCATTTTCACAACAAATCAACCTCAAAACCGCCCCATAGCGATAAATTTAAGTTCTACAAAAGAGTTCTGACAACCTTCCTGGTGGGCTGTGTGTACGTTCAACCAATGCACAGAATACTGCCTCAGAATTAATAATAATAATAATAATAATGGATTGCATTTATATAGCGCATATCCACTTATGCAATTCTCTATGCGCTTAGTTAACATGATAAATATTGTGGATTTACAAATCAATTTTAAAGGTACATAGTGTTACATACTCGTGCAAACACATATTCACTCACGCACGCACCACACACACATACATACACACATACACATATACGTACATATTATGCACATGCGCACATACAGACTCACAACGATCTACAGCTTGGATGGATTTTGTCTAATCGAAATATGATGAAAATAGAAATGCTTTTAGTTTCTTCTTTAAAATTTCTAGATTTTCTGCTTCTCTGATAGTTTTTGGAAGCCTATTCCAAACAAGTGGGGCAAAATATGAAAAAGAGCGTTGGCCATATGATTTGTAATTTATTTTAGGCTTAACAAGGGTTGTTTTGTCACTTGATGATCTGAGCGTTCTAGGATGCACATAGGGTGTTAAAACTGTTTTAGATAGTCCGGTGATAAATCATTTAAGCACTTGTAGCAAGTTAAACAGATTTTATATATGATACGCTCTTTCACCGGGAGCCAGTGCAATGCTTTTAAAATAGGAGTCACATGATCATGCTTTAGTTTTTTAGTAATTATTTTGGCAGCAATATTTTGTACTCTTTGTAGTTGTTGTAATTGTTCATCAGGTACACCAGCCAGTAAGCAATTGAAATAATCAATCCTTGACAATATAAGTGATGTTATTAAAGTTTTGGTGACACCAACCGATAGATATTTTCTAATGCTCCCTATTTTCTTCATTTGGAGATATAGATTTTTACAAAGATTGGATACATGGTATTTCATTGACATATCTTGATCTAGCACCACACCTAAAGAGAGAGAAATGAAAACGAAGATAACAAAAACCAACACAGATACAGACAATCAGCTGAGACAGACATTACTAATAACAGCTTACGAGCCAGCAATTCCTACATATTTACAGAGTGGTTCTTTCAAAGAAAAGTATCCATTCCTTTCTCAATAGAAATTGTGCTGCTTCTTCTCTGAACTGATTTACAAAATGTATTAGCACTACCTGAAATTAGCTCTTACCCTAAAACAGTCAGCAAGAGGTCCAGTCTCATCATAGAAAATGCCACACATGTCGTCCGCTGCCAGTTTATCCTCCATCTCTTTAGTGCACTCACCCTCAGGTTCCACAGGTGTGTCGCATCTGTAATGAGAGGAGGTCAGGGCGGGGGGGGGGGGGGGGGGGACTAATGAGAAGTCTAAATAAGGCTTTCAAATGGTATAACTCAGTTTCTAATCTTTTCGATAATATTCAAATAGCTCTACTTGCAGGATCACTTGTAGAATAAAGCTGAAAGCTTAGACCTGGGTCTTCTCCGATCATCCACTATTGTTGAGTTGTAAGTCACAGACACGAGAGATAGCTTACAGGTTTCAGGACTCCGCATGGTATCATGTTAGTTCTTAAAGCTGTAGGCACAGATATTATAGACAGTATCTCATTTGATCGGGATTAAAATAGACAAGGATTCATTAAAGAAAATAAAACAATCTCAGAACACAACCCTCAGGGTCTCAATTTTAAAAAGTGGTCATAGAGAACAAGCTGTTCAATTGTGTTGAGACCTGAAAGAAGCATTTTTCAGGCGAGATAAAAAGCTGCATAATTATTCTTTGAAAATTGTATCTCCATTGTGTATCTTTTCGTTTTCTTATTTCAACGTTTAGAATTTGAATTTAAATAAAAATATTTCCCACACACATGCAACCGATACCACAAATTAAGCAAATACAATTTGTAAATATTTCAAGAGGTCGGGTTTAGTACATCGATAGTGAAAGGGTTAATTAACAACCATCTTACATTTCATCGACAGCTTCTGGATCTGGAACAACCCAATCTTGCCCCAACGGCGCCATAGCTGCACGACTCCAACGATCTCTCCATTTAGGTATGTTCACGTTTGTGCCATTTCTGAGACGGAAAGTCTCTGCATCGTCGCAGTCGCCACACAAACCACACATTTTGCCAACAAAAGAGGTAGGTGCCTTCACAGTGAGTTTGTTCCAGCTTAGCGTCACTGTCATTTCCAGCTTCGGCACAATCAGGCTGAAGTAGTTTGGTTTCACTCTGGTCTTGTACACTCCAAGTTCTCCATAACTTGTCTGCTTGATCACTTTGCCGTTCAACTGTGGGGATGTAAAAGAAAGCTTTGGGTCTCACTGCTTTGGAGGTTTTTTTTAACTCACGAGTTATTGTACCAGGAGAGAGGTAGGGCTTGCCAGGTGTCTGGGGTACAATTAGCGAGATAATGATCAGCAAAGTTTGGCGAATTCTAAAGTTTGAATGTCTCAGGAAACTGCAAATTTACATTTTTTGTTGTTGACTATATTCTATATTTTCCATTAAAATCTGCACAGAAATATGTTTTTGTACGGACATAAAAGATTTTTTTAATTGATAAAAATAGCCTAACAGTAGGAAAAGTGTTAGTTTTTTATTTTTTATTTCATTATTTCGAGGAATGCCTAATTTCATTATGAGGTCACACATGTATTATGTATTATGACAGCCGCAAGAAAAGCTCATGATAACACTGTTTTCCCATTTCTAAACCAGTTTCGTCTTTTTAAGGGTGCAGAAAGTTGAAACAAACCTTTATTCCTTTCTATTTTTCTTAGCCTGTGTATTAGAAGTAATTTCAGTCTTTACTTTTGTGTAGAAAAAAATAGAAAAGTTGTGTTATGCCGACAATCTCTGATCGGTGAGCTTACAGAGATTTTTAAAAAAAACTTGTATCATTATTTGGGGCCTCTGCAGAAGAGCTGAAAAGACATGAAAACAACATCAAATGTGGTGCAAAATGGAAATCAGAGCATGTATTCTCAATGATTATAAACAAATTTTCTCAATTTAAAGGAGAAGAGCATTTTTATTATTTCAACTTTCTGTATACATATAATGAAAAAGTTCAGTCTTGTGAAAAGTACTTGATATTTGATAATCCAACTCTATTTCTTTTTATTAAAGTCTTTCCATTTTAACATATTTAACAAAGTAAGAAGGCCAAGCACATACGTTTTCTAACCTCATGGTCTTAATAACCCAAAACAGTTTACAATGTTAGATAGAACTTTGTAATTTTGACTGTAATATTGTGATTTGAAAGTTTGGGGAGAACAAAAAATAGAATCTATCATTGACATAAAATTCTTTGCAAACATTCAACAAAAATTAGGCCACACAAATTTTGTACAAAGAGAAGAGGGGGGGGGGGGAATCCAAATAACACTAAAATATGAACACAAGTAAGAGCTAAAAACATAGCGAGGATCAAAATTACTCACGCTGAGTCTAATAAGGATTCAAAAGAAAACAACAAAATATAACAACAACAAAATACAAACATTAGTTAAATGTGTTGAAACATTTGTAATGCTTACCCTAAAACTCCTGGCACGAACAGCAACTTTGAATTCGAAATTCTCCTTAGTCTTTGCACCATTTCTTATCACTTGCATGTTCCTTAGATGAATATCAACCTGACTGATACAGGAAACTCCCTGTCTTACTCCACATGCTTTGTTCTTTGTGTAAACGTCATAGTTCATCGATTCACCATCTTTGTCCTTTTCACAGACACCAGAAAACTTGTACCTGTTGAATATAATGCAATAAGTGCAACAGATTCTTTGTCTAATGATTAATTCCCCTTTCGTATTAGGCATCCATACAATGAACTTCAGTTGAAGGCATAAGATTCAGCCTGCCCAAAATTCAACATAGACTTTTCACCTTTCATAGAATTACAACTAAGGAAAAAAAATCACAGCACTACTTTTGACTGGTACAATATAAAACAGCATACCTATCAATACACCAACTTTTTATCAAATACACACTCAACTCATAAAAGAGCACAGACATTATGTGTATCAACTCACCTGCACTCGCCCTGAAAGTCAAATTTGTTGCCATTGTAATCAATGTAATGTGGGTCCCCTGAAGCAACACACTCGCCACAGTGAGCTGAAAACAAAATATAAGAAAATTAAAACTTTAAAAAATGATGTCTTCTCCAGCTGCAATGCATTCAACTAGAATCTAAAAGACATGACTTAAAAAAACAATTTTGCTAAAGAGTATATTTGATTGTAAGGAAAGTTCACCAGCTTCAACATATTTTTTGACAATATTTAATATTGTTAGTAGAAATGAAGCATGGGAGAAAACTGACATTCACCTAACATGCTGCAAAACACTACACATCAGAAAATTGTGAAATTGTGAGAGCTTGGGATGGTACGAGTAATAATAATGTCAAGGAGTCTGTTTAAAGTCCAAGACAAATAACTAGACTATATCCACAAAAGCAGTGTCATCTTTTATACGTACTGACGCAGGCTTGGCCAATCTTACTGAAGACCTTATCAGTTGGGCATTTACAGATGTAGTGGTTGTTTGACGGCTGACATATCTGCCCCCCTTCACATGCTGTTGCGCCAAGAGCAGCCAATTCCTTACACTGATCCTCGGCTGGGAATAAGTATGAAATTCATAACATGAAACATTTTTTTTTTCAAGGTATACTAATTTTTTCCTTAATTCTATAGCCAATGTATTGGGTTGTTTTTCTTTTCAATTCAAATAACATTTGATCAAATGCAGTTTAAAACAGATTATATCTTGAATCACCAAAAATCACCATCATCCTCACATATGCCAAATCTGTCCTACAAGCTCTCCAAAAGCCACAAACAGCTCAAATACGACAACTCCTTTCACTCCTATGTGATCTAAACTCCCAAGCCAACACAACTCTGCAGTGGATATCAAGTCAGTGTGGCATTCATGGAAATGAGAAAGCAGACGACGTAGCAAAAGAAGGAGCCAAAATGACACAGATTGAAGATGGCATGGATGTCTCAGGAGTCAAAAACACTAATAAAATCTGCCTTAAGAAACAGATGGAAAAGGTCCCACCCTAAACACAACAGACATGACCCATACTACATACTAAATAGAGCAGACCATGTCACAATCTTTAGACTCCGTTGTGGCCACAACAGACTCAATCACCATATGCACACCAAATTAAAAGTGGGAGAGTCAGCGATCTTTGAATGTGGACACGACCAAGAGGATGCCAACCATATCCTTCAGCACTGCCCGCGCTATGTCACCCTTCGTACACAGTTGTGGCAGAATGTGGCTCCTCTTGAGAGAAAGCTCTATGGCAGTTTCTCAGAGTTGAAGCGAACTGCACAGTTCTTGCGCGACATCAGACTGACTGTTTAATGGATATTGGAAGGCACAAACCATCCAAGTCAAATACAAAGAGCAAAGAATATGTTAGAATTAGACAATTAAGACAATAAGAACACAATCATGCTAGGCGTATCATTTTTAGTATACGTTCATTGTTACCAATTCCATAGCCCGTATTTCTGATCAGGTGACTCATCATCTACAAATGCTCACTACCTGTGGTTGTTCTTTTTATCTTTCTTCATAGTTCTGATTACTTTACGAGAAACCTTTCTGAATATGCAAATAAGATATCAGACGTGCAAACAATGTGCATTCCACGCACGACAAAGAAAAAAAAAGATTATTCACAAAACAAAAAGAGTCTTTTTTCATGCTTCAGTACACAATACGTGAAGCATGTAGACAAAATTAGTTACTTCTCAGATTCGAGCCCTAAGGAAACAAATATGTCACACACATAGGTGAGGCTTTTACAATTTATAAGTATGGAATAATAAAAGGCATGTTGTACTGAAAGAATATGGCATCAATAGAAAATCTACAAATTTCACCCGCGTGTTGATTTTTGGGAAAAATCTCTATTTCTTGTGGAGGACGAGAAGTAAATCATTTTGTCGGCACACCTCTTCTATTTATAATATTATGTGATTCTGGACAGAAGTGTCAAAGAACTCTAGCTAAGCTCACAATAAAGAGCACACTACTGCTCACAGAAACGGATCTCATCACTCACGTTCTGGACAGAGGAATTCAGCTTCAAATGTGCTGCAATCCAAGCCCTGTCCCCCTTTACAAGAAATATCCGTCTTCTTGCAGCTCAGGGTGGCACCTTCCTGGGTCGTGTCAGTCACCCACTGATCCGTCAGTTCATTCTTAGCACGGCACCTGATCTCAACAGGTTCATCACAGAGGTAAGCCTGTTAAAAAATAAAAAGAACACCCATTAACTCTTGGTATCCGATAGGCTATTCCTCCCTTGCATGCCACCAATTTCACATCTAAGTTTTCAGCATCACAAACGTCCCTAAAACTCTGATCCTGTTATAATAATAAAAGATATCATTTGTTTAGCGCAAATTCCTGCTCAGCAGGAAGCTCTATGCATTTTACAATCTATACCGTTACCCAGCAAACCTGACAGCATTCTGAAACAATCTAAACTTCCTGGGAAGCCCAACATACTGACAAGATATTTCGCTGTCTGTAGCTGGGTACCCATTTCCACCTGGGCGAAGTGAGAAAAATCGATGTAAAGTGCCTTTCAGCAAGGACACTGTATTTGGCCTGCAGCTCGAACCCCTGAACTCACAACCACACTTTTATGAGTCAGTGGCCTGTTTTTGTCAGATGCAACCTATAATATGAACGCCAACCTGATCAACGTCATACAACAACTGTATCTCCAGCGCAGTCTACCTTTATGGCAGCTTGGGGGATTGGTTCAGGACAAGGGTCGGGGTGAGGCAAGGCTGTTTGCTCCCACTCTTTTCAAAATCTTCCTAGAACGAATCATGACTGACACACTGGAAGACTACAATGGAACAATCAGTATTGGAGGCAGGACAATAACAAACTTGCGTTTTTCCGATGAATAGCCGGAGAAGACCAGGAGCTCGCCACACTAGTGGAGCGGCTGGACACAACCTCAGCCGCCTACGGAACGGAGATCAGTGCCAAGATAACCAAGCAAATGACAAATAACACCAATGGCATCAAAGCGGACATTAAAGTCAGGGGCGAGAAATTTGAGACCGCCAACAGCTTCAAATACCTTGAATCAATCGTCTCATATGAAGGCTCAAGACCAGAAATTCTCCCCAGAATCGCGCAAACAACAGCTGCGCTGTCAAAACTGAAGCCTATTTGGAGGGACAGAAACATCACGCCCAACTCAAAATTCAGACTAATGCGCCCACTGGTCATCTCAATATTTTTATACGCCTGCGAGTCGTGTACAGCAGATTTAGAGAAAAGATTCAGACAACAGAAATGAGACGGTACCACAGACTCCTTGACATCTCGTACAAAGACCACGTTTCAAATGCTGATGTACGAAACAGAATCACCTACGCAGTAGGGCAGCCTGAAGATCTACTGACCACAGTAGGACAGCATGAAGATCTACTGACCACAGTGAAAAGATGAAAATTAAAATGGTATGGGCATATCACAAGATCCACAGGACTTGCCAAAACAACCCTACAAGGAACCATACAAGGAAAGAGAAAGAGAGGAAGGCAGAGAAGAAGATGAAAGGACAACATTACATAGTGGACTGGAAAGACGATGGGTGGCAATCTGAGGAAAGCAGAGGACAAAGATATATGGCGAAAGCTGGTTTTCAGATGCAGTGCCGCAGGAGCAGGAGCAGGAGCAGGAGCATGAGCAGGAGCAGGAACCGGAGCAGGAGCAGGAGCAGGAGCAGGAGAAGAAGCAGAAGAAGAAGCAGAAGAAGAAGAAGCAGCAGAAGAAGAAACAGAAGGAGAGGTAGAAGAAGAGGAAGAAGAAGACGAAAAAGAAGAAGGAGGAGGAGGAGGAGGAGAAGGAGGAGGAGGAGGAGGAGGAGGAGGAGGAGGAGGTGGAGGAGGAGGAGGAGGAGGAGGAGGAGGAGGAGGAGGAGGAGGAGGAGGAGGAGCAGGAGGAGGAGGAGAAGGAGGAGGAGGAGGAGGAGGAGGAGGAGGAGAAGAAGAAGAAGAAGAAGAAGAAGAAGAAGAAGAAGAAGAAGAAGAAGAAGAACCGTAACCACTAGACTGCTGTCCCCACATGTGAGACCTATTTCATAAAATAACATCTCACTGAGTAGAAATGAATGATCGAATAGAAGGTAAACACCACACAGTTTGATTATAGATAAGATGATTTTGCTGGGCTTTGATTTATTATGAGTGTAAACTACAAGGGGATACTGTGAGTCAACTGAAGTAATGCACCGTATGTTAATGTTTAATTAAAAGAGAATGTTTTAAAATAGAATTAAATACTCATATAAATCACTGATAAAAATTCTAACAAATGACAAGTATGCACTGTTAAGGTTCACTGATATGCATTGTTTCAACCAATCAAAATTTTACAAATCAATGCAACATGAAAACAAAACAGATTGTGATAGATGCATCTCTAAAAATTGTTATATCATTAGGACATCTCAAGTAAGATGGTAAAAAAATATTCAATTTCTAGATAAATATGATGTATGCTACCTACAAACAAGAGCCTGTTGTTTGGTCAACTGACAGATGAGACCATTCCTTGAAAAGCAACACACGTTGCACGAAGATGATGACCTGCTGCGAAAATGCTAAGCAGTGATAGAGCCTTTCTTTACACCGTTTTTGTCAGATGCAACATTTTTGTACCAAAAAAAAATGTAACCCCTAAAATCCCCCCCCCCCCCCTCTTACTGCACTAAAGATGAATCTATCCCTTCTTAGATCTTATTTAGCAAGTTATCATCCTTGCTTTACGAGTCACTTTTCATGGAATGATCCAAAAGACATTTGAATTGGGTTTACCTCTGCGCCATGTTTGTGTAGCTGTTCCTTGATCTTCTCCAGGGTGGTGGGGCCAGGGATGGGGAATGGTGGAGTGAAGATCGTGGGTTTCACACCCTCTATAGTGTGACAAAAGACAAAGGTGAAACAATTTCTTTGACCATTAAAAAAAAGTAAAAACACATTTGGTAAACAAGAGGATTTTGTTTGGATTCCCTGAAAAGTGCACCATCACGTTATTCACAAGAAATACTGCAGAGTAGCTTAACATTATAAAGTCCCACATTGGAAAAGCACAGGCTGCTTTCACATCTTTGGATAGGATTTGGAAGACAAGAGATATCTAATTTCGAACAAAGTTGGGGATTTTCAATTTAAATGTGAAGTCAGTCCTGTTTTATGGATGTGAGAAATGGAACGCCTCACAAACTTGCATAAAGAGGATCCAAGTTTCCTTGAACAGGTGTCTGAGAAAATTACTAAGGATCAGATGGACAGACAGAGTCACCAACGAGGAAGAGTTACGGAAAACAAGACAGATCCCAGTCAGAGATGAGGTAGGAAGAAGACGGTGGCGATGGATTGGACATACTCTCATGACGTCAGGCAGCTGCATAACAAAGAAAGTGTAGGATTGGAATCCAAAGGGGAAGATATCAAGGGGAAGACCGCGTGGAACCTGGCGAAGAATCATAGAAATTGAGGTACAGAAAAGTGGGAAGACATAGAATAACATCAAGAGGCTAGCCCAGGACAGAGAAAGGTTGAAAATGTTTGTTCGTGGCCTATACCCTTGAGTAGGGTGAGAAAGACAATGATGGTGAGCTATACATTGACATTATTGCAGGGGTTTTGCAGGGGGGAGGGGCACAAAAACGATCTGCTACAAAAAATCAAATAACTTAACTAAATAATTATAGAGCATTTAAATCAGAACTTTGATATCATCATTATTCAACTCTTCAGACAGACCGTAGACCAACGTTTTAAAAAAAATTGAACCAAACATACTGAAATGGTAACTTTTTTAAAGCACCAAAAATCGACTCTTGAAAAATAAATGTCTGTGTGTACCTGGAGAAATTAGTTCTCGGTTTGTCGTGAAAGCTATTTTTGAGCAACAGGGTGGAAAGGCCAAAAAAGTAATACCTGGTCAAGAATTTAGTTCCATCATGAAACACATGATCAATCATTTCTTAATAACATATTCAGAGGATTTTATAATACCTTATGTCTAAACATTTTGTATTAGATACATTTGCAACATGTTGTGCTTTACCAAAGGTTAAATTGAATTTACAACAAGAATATGCCTTTATTTCAACATCCAAAATTTCCGACAACTGGGACCTTTCTCCACGCACTCGCACAAATATAGACGTAAAACATTAATGCAGAACATTTGTAACACAAGCTCAAGAACATGACTTCTCATTTCCGCATCAAAGCAAAAATCTCTTACACTAATATTTGACATCAAAGGTTACATTAAAATGGTAATGGAAAAGACAAACTTAAAATGTTGTGCTCGACATGTTTTCCTTTAAATCACAAGCGTTCATGTATCCCTTTTTGAACGCGGTGAATGACTTGTGTATTTGATTTGCAATATGTTCTCTTTCAACTCATCAATTACTGTTTGATGGTCTTGCTGATCTAAACTATATATGTATGACTTGTCAAATCTGATAAGACAAAATTGGGTGACCATACAGAAGTGTCATTTCAGCTGCTTCCAGCTGTATCTGCTTCCAGCTGTATAACTGAGAATATAAGGGAACAACATGACTAAGAGATGCAATTGTTAAGTAAACTAACAATGTTTGTGAGTACAAATCTACTGATCTCAGCAAACGGCAATTCCTTCAATCCTGCAATTAGAACTGAGAAGTAAAGCACAGCCAAACCTGTTTTAACGGCCACCTGTATAAGACAATCACCAGTACAAAGGACCACATCACAAATCCTCCCTTGCTTCGGCAACAAAATAATGATATGTGAGATGGCCACTAGTCTGAGACAGCCACTTTTATCCTTGAATATGAGGGGCCCTCTTACAGTTTGACTGTATTTTAACACAACAGTCTTTGCTAATATCAGTAAATTTGACCTTACCATGAGGACCGCACAGAGGAAACAAGCGCCTATCACATCTCTCAGCATACCAAAAGCCAGTTTTTTTGCTCATAGCCAAGCAGTGGGTCTCTACCGATCCTCTTGAAGGCTGAATAAAGTTTTGAAAAAAAAGGAAAAAAACTAAGCGATATAGTGACAGCCATAAGGTTATGCATGAAATAATGTAATATTTATGTACATTTCAAAATATACATCCTAACATGTTATCCGCTGAAGGTTAAGTTTGATTACATTAAACTAAAAAACAAATTGTCTGTCATAATGAAAGTGGATCCATTTGGACCATATACTGGCACTGGACTGGGAGGAAAACTATTCTTTAAAGAAGTCGAGAAAAAAGGACTCAACTCAGGTTAGAAAAGTCGTACAGTGCCTTTTGATTGAACTTGTAGTCAGTCATTTTATAAAAAGTGCAAAATCTCTCACTTTTACTTTCTCTTTGTTCTAAGCTAATGCAAAAGGTACAACCAGAGGGAATGAAAATCTCTCAAATATCCCCAGAATAAAATGTACTTCAGAGGAGAACAAACTCATACTCTCAGAAGGCTTCTCATCATGCCTCATCTCTAGAGAAAAAGATGATTATACAGGAGACCGAGATTTAATTAAAGCACCTCATGAAGTATACCCACTGATGTTTATTATACTATTGAAGCTATTTTGATATTTCTCATCTTACAAGCTAACATCAAGATAGTCCTCAAGGCACAGCAATTTACAAAACATCAAAAGGAAAAGTAACAATTGAAGAGCCAATCGTTAATGTACTGTTATGAGAACTAAAATAACAATAAAACAGAAAATACTTTCATAGCACAAAAAAGAGACCCTGTAATAGACTTCAGTAAAGACAATTCTGTAGAAACCATACTCGCTTCCATTAAAATATACCCATCAGGGATTTCTTAATTAAGTTAAGTCTTGTGTGGTTAAAAAGTTTAGTGGCATTCACTGCTGCATACGAGGGTTTTTATAAGATTTTTTTCGCCAAAGAAGGACTACTGACAGCAATCTATAATTGGTCATGATGTTATTCAAAATTACTTTGGTGATGACTTATTGAACAATCTGTCCTGTGCATAACACAGCACTATTTACCGTTTTTCTTCCTCACAAGCCCTGCAGTTTGCCTAGCAAAGGAAGGATGGAGACACATTTCTAATGAGCCTGAATCTAGGAATGGGACCAAACCGAAAAGGCTATTTTTATTTTAAGAAAGCTCAATTCAAACTCAAACCAAATCTCCATTTTCTAACACCTTTCTAACACCTTTGATGAACAAACTCAAACATGCATTAACAGAAAGCAAAACATACTAATGGCATCCTTTCCCAGTTGTTGAAGTCAATGGCAGTACCATCTGACCACATAAAGGCCTCCAATTCAGGGGCAAACCTGGCATCTAGCCAGGCATCATTTCTGTAGAAGAGAATGATCCAAGCTTTGACCTTTGCAATACCATTGCAATAGTGAACCAGTAAAGAAAGGCAGATACGAAACTGGAGAACGAGAGAGGAAATATACGGGATAGTAGAGTAAGAGGGAATTCTTTTTTTTTTCAATTCTTGCCTTACATTCATTTCTGCTATGCAGGAAAGGTTCATCTTTAAAATAGCACTTAGCACCCAATTGCCCAAAATGCAACAGAAATATCAGTACCCGAAACAAACAGATTAGCAAAGTCCTCCCATGATATATAAACTTGGACTATTGTTAAAATATCATTAGACACAGAGGGGCAAAGACGTACCTGAGTTGCTTTTGAATGATATGTTTAGCCTTCTTCAACTGCTCATTATTGGTGATCTTCAACAGCGGTCTTCCCAGCTCAGCACATTTTGCGATGGCCCCTTGATGGTTGACCTTCTGAGCAACGCTGTCAACATCATTTGGATCTGGACATTAAAACCACCATAGTCATATTAATAGAATCATCTACGCCTCTCCATCTGTGTGAATGTTTTTGGATGCTCTGTGTTTATATCCGAGGACATTCCAGAGTATACATGTCCCCCTTGGACAATAAAGTATTATCTTACACTGCTCAGTAATCTTTGATTTTTGAATATGCACAAACATAAAAGCAAAGAACATACTGTTCACATAACTTCAAAACTTCAAATTTTATTTTCTGAATAGAAACCCCATTCATTCATTCAAAACTCACCATTCAACTTCTCTTCCGTGTTTTCTGTGAAAGAAAAGAATATAAATCGTACTTGTAGTACAACCTGATATCTATTTGGAAAAAAAAAAAGATAGCATTTGTATAGCGCAAATCCACGCTCAAAAGCAAGCTCTATGCCCTTCACAATCTATACTATTACCCCAGCAGACCTGAGAGCATTCTGAAAAATCTCAATTTCCTTGAAAGCATACAGTGCAAGCAGCCCTTAATAGGCGCTAAAACACTAACATACTGACAAGATTTCTCGATGTCTATGAAATCATTATAATAGCACGGTAACTGACTAAAGGAGAAAAACAGACTCACGGCATACAATGTAAAAGCTGTCTAATTTATAGGTATATTAGTCTAGCAGGCATACAGTGAAATCAGTGGAAACGTAAATGTTTTTATTATGCCTACATATTTCAAATACGAAGAATATAACGTTGGCCTATGAGAAAAAAAATTGGGATCTGAAAATATGTTTGCTACCGATGCATGCTAGACCGTATTTTTCCCCAAATGCTTGAACACGGTTTTAAAACTTTTTGAAGTTAGATATTTACAACTAGAGTGACTCAGAACTTTACACAAAGATGTTAAATAAAGGCAACATAATTTGCAGCTTAATGTTTCTGTTATTCTGTTAGATAGATAGAACATCTAACCTAAATCTAAATTGTTCCTCCTGAGCAACTGACAAAGAATATAATAAAATGAAAGAATGTAAACAAATAAATACTGAGTATGCGCATAATTATGTTTTCAAATCATAGAACAATTATCATACGATATTCGCAGATGAAGGGTTGAACATTCTTGCAGTCTGGATTTGTTGAGAGAATAAGTCGTTCTTTCTCATTGAGCGTGGCTTGGAAGCAGCCAACAGGATCTTCTACCGCTTCCTCATCAATCAGTCGGGGTGGGTCCACTTGGAATGGAGATTTTCCATTACGTTTTTCAAAGCCCAAAACGTGTGTGTTTCCTCCTACCCACAAAACTGAGGAGAAATTATAAGAATGAGTAAATGAATGGTGGGATAAGAACGTTCCGAACATTCAAAATATTCACCCATTAGGTTTCTTTTTTCTTCTAGGTCCTGATCCGCACTAGTCAGCAGCAAGTTCACCGCCGTGCAACCAATTTTTTAATAAATGGCCAAAAGTGTGGATCTTGTGTCCCTTTCCATTCTGGCAGACATAATGTACTTTCAATGGTGCATTTTAAAAATGTACATACTAATAAATTGTACGTCAATTCTGTGCAACATACTTACTGTTCTGTAACTAATGACCGCTAATGTGTCTCAAAATGCAACCCTGTCAAGAGAATCAGAAGTCCCTATTTTCCCTCTCTTTATTTGTTTACAAACACATTTATAATAATAGACATACAAAAATGTTTATAAGAGTCATTTCCAAAAGGTGGGGGCCCCTTAAAGCTTATGGAGGCCATGAAATAAATGTTAATCAACTAGCATGATTTTTCTAACAAGCATGCATAAAAATCAAATTATGTGTATGGCCATCAAAGCGCAGAAAGGGTAGTCTGGGTCTCCTGATCTCTTGAAAATAGTTCTGCCTGGTCTCTTGCTATTGTAATTTACTTGCCAGTCATACTCTTCACCACCCCTAAATTATTTATACAAATGACATGGCAAATTGAAGTATTCCACCCGTAGTGTAATTATAAAATCCACTGTATTTGATCTAAATGCCCCCAGCACGGTCGATACTGTGGTCACACTAGATGTGTCATATTGCAGTAGACAGTGGTGGATCAGGCAGAACTCTAATTACAATTGATCACATTAGCATGGTAGACCTTCAACGAAATCAGCACCCAATTGAGTATCAACTAAAAAAGAATTTTTTGTTAATGCTCTTGCAACTGAGGGTGGGTTGTTGGCCACTGCTCTGGTGTTGTCTGCTCCTTCTGTTCTATCAAATATATATCATCCTAGACTCTTCTGCTTCTTTTTTTGTGTTTATTACTCTCTTGTAAATCCACTAATCTTGGGCTCTAATATGACCTTATTGTGTTGCAAGAGTCTTAAACCTTTTACTAAAACATATGTCGAGTTCCCTACATCGAGGATTAATTCTGTATGACTTTAATTACTACTGAAACCCTATTACCTGGTACTGGAGATGCTGACCACACTGAAGCTGTGGAAACAAAGAGAAAAAGAATGAACACTTGACAGTAAGTACAATATGATGGAAGAAAAAACTGGACAAGTTGAACAGATAGACAATATGCAGAAAAAACAGAACAATTTAGGTTTTCTGAGAGTATCCAAAAAGGGAAATGAATGAAGAACTTTGATCACCAATGTCTATGTGAGATCTAGCACTTTATGATGAAGATGATGATGAAACGAGGGTATTTTCCTTGAAAAGCAATCTAAATGTTTTCTGCAAAAAGAAGTTTACTAAAACAATAACCACCACATATTACTAAAGGTGACTTCTCTGGCTTAGAGGGTGACACGCAATGGCCCTTCATGGCTTACGGTCGCAAGCTGACGTTATACAATGTAATATTTAGGCCAATCTGTGCCTTGATGTCATCGGTCCACATTGTTCTTTTTTGTCCACCCTTTGCCCTTTTGCCCCGCATCATGCCTTCAAGTATTTCCCTCTAATGGTCTGATGGTGTTTTACATGACATCTTTGTATTTTTCTACTACAGGTCTAGACAAACAGGTTACAAGTGACAAGGAAGTAAAACTACATTAGCTATAGAAATGACTTCAACACACAATGTACAAGAAAAGAGTATTTTTCTCTTTCAAGTAAAATTCACCAGTGTACTCAGGCGAACATTTTAAATCATAATTTATTTTAAGTGAATTTTGAAGAGAAAAGACGTTACATTCCTAATACATCAAGTAAACCATCATCACTTACTGATCAAAAGATTTCAAAGAAAGGTAAATTTTTTTTAGAAATTCAACTGCTGAAACTGAGATCACTTTTGAAAAAGGGGGGGGGGGGTATTTTGAGGATTAAACTTACCCAACACACAGCTGAGAGAAAACGTAGCATCACAGTTGCCAGTCACAACAACTTTCCTGCGGTCATCAGAAAGCTGGAACTTTCCCTTGCAAGCATTGGCATTTGCTGTCTCCGCAATTTTGATGTTAATAGCAACTTCGTTCTTGGGTATGCGACACGTTGAACCTCCTTGGCAGTGCAGATACCGGATTTTGGCTGAATTTTGAAAACAAAATATCAGTAAATTTATTTTTACTATAACATTAGCATGTTCACAACATGCACAAATAGTAATTTGTATTACTTTCTTTATAATTTGGTTTTATTTTGGAAGGGGGTGAGGGAGTGTTTGGGGATTTTGCAGAATGGAACAAATTTTATTTTTACTACAGACAAAAAAGACAATATATATGTAACCAACACATCAGGTTCCTTCAACATTTTAAACTGTTTAAGTGTGATGAAACAAGCTATGGGTCCCCGGCAAAGTGATGTAATCATCCCTTGACATAGACAGTGCTTGGTTATAGTGAAAGAAAATACCATGCTAAACAATATTATTCTGGTAAAAAATGAAGACCAGTCCTCACAAGTACACGAATTATCTGGCAAAACCAAGAACAAACACCCAAATCCTTTTCCTTTGAAAGAAACGTGCTTGAACTCACTCAAACTTTGTGAGGCCTCTTCGACACATCAATAATACTTTATATAATATAGGTTCGGCGTTATTTGTTTTTATTTCATTTTGAATACAGGCATGTGCCTTGGCGGTATTAGCCTCAATGTACTCCTTAATTTTTTTTTTTTTATATAAATGCTGTACACCATTTTGCACTACCATCCATCCAAACTCTAGCCTATTGACAGTATGATCGGCCGCACAAATCCAAATCCTTGACCTTATTTCACAGTCCGTAAAATCCTATGATGATGTTTATCTTCTAAAGTTATCAGAGTAGACACTCACCCATGGAACTCAGGTAAAATAGTTTAGACTTCTGCACAAAGTGCACAAGTTCATCATTTTCCTCTGAGTCGTATCTGTAGCAGAGAAACCAAGAAAACTTACTTTAAAGAGATACAATAAAAAGTCAATGTAGGGAATAAAGACACAGCCCTACATATTAAAGAGAAATCGTTTTTATCAAACAACAACAATTTCAGCTCTCAACCTATTACATGGTCTATCATAGTAAAAGATAAAAACTAATTGCATCCTCAAATCTACCAGCATCTCCATGACTAAAAAACAGGAGTTTTCCTCAGAATTATCCCCGAAAGTCAGTTTGAGGAAAAAAAATCGTGTCCCCAGGAAAGAACCCTAGTAGATTCAGATTATGTTAAGAATCTATAGTGGCAAATCCATAGATACTGAAAATGTATGCAAATAAACCAGTTAATTTTTACGTCATTTACTAGGAATTGCACAAATATTGCAAATAAATTTGGCTATTTTCACATTACTTATGATTGTGTACTGCTTATGGCAATGGATTTCATGAAAAAATTGCACATTTGAATATTTATGCAAGACTTGTAGAAGACGATAATTATACAGTACAGTTCTGATAATTCAACTTAATACTATAGCTTGTTCAGTTCCATCTGTCCGCGTTCAAAAGTTTAAACTCATTCATTAATTTACCTATGCCCACCAAACTGTGCATGGCATTCTGCACGCCAGAGACAAAAAAAAATATTTTTTAAAAATCTTGCTCCAGTAATGAAAAGTTTTATCTATTTGAGCCCTATATTAAAAACCTCTCTTTGGGTACATGCACAGGGTCTCAAAAATAAATTACATATTATGGCCTAGCCTACAAATTGCTAATTTTAAGACAGTGACACCACTTTGCCCCAATATTTCATTGTCAGCTTGTAGATTCCATCCCACAATTGTCTAGACATCTCAACCTAAATCTCGAAAAGTATTAACCCAAGCATTGAACTGTGATATAGGGTTGAAGAAAAAGTATGTCAACTTTTTAATGTTTTAGGTGTATGCTGTAAAATCCCTATTATTTTTTAGATCCGCTTTCGCTAACATCAAAGAAAACTTGTCCAAATCATAGTTTGCAGTGGTCATTAAGAATAGGCTAAGATCAGAGAAGATTAAACAGTAAAACTTGATTTAATCGTGTTTTAACCATGGTCAGACTAAACTGAACAAGCTTTAACTATTTTTCACGGAGTGAATTAGTACCCCCCAAAAAACTTCCTAATCATCTAAGGTTAATTTTAACACCATAACCTAACCTTGCAAGACGTGCTCCCTCAGCCCCGCAAGTAAGTGCAGCACTGTGCCAGTCAAGTTTATCAGGGACAAAGCGATAGCAGAGGTCACCCATAGAAACGTAGCCCTCTCTGCAGGTTCGCTTATTTTCACCTGGATAAGGGAGTAAACCAGAGTGCACATTAGGTAGGGTAACAAAAATTCCTTACCACAATAATATTTCAAGAAGGCTATGTAGACAACAACAAAGAATCAAAACAATTTCTTGGTTTCACCTTCTTTTCTTATCTTAGAATCTTGTCCTATTCTTAGAAAACGGGTAAATCAACAACAGCAATCTTTCGGCATGAGTGTGTTTTATTAACCATAACCCAGACGTTAATACCCAAATCTTGCTAAATTGTGTTGCAAGACCTGCAAAATTATTACTTCAACTAAAAACAAAAACTAATAGTAATGTGAATGAATACAAATAAAGGGTGCACATGGTCTGTAGACTGCCACATCGGAGGAAAGGAGACAGAGTTTTCCTGGCCACTGATGACTTTGTCTTTGCAAAATGATGCAGTTTTGACCAAATTTCATTGACTTTGCGCTTTAACCCTTCATCATACCTTATTGATATACACCTTTCCCTTGAGTAAACGGGGAGGGGGGTGTTTGTTTGTTTATTTTTTTACAGTTATCTGGCGTTCAGAAAACAGAGCCAAAATTGGTGCAATTGAAGCAAAACACAGCAGACATCCATTTTTCAAAAGGCATCAACCGGAAAGTGGAAAAGGAAGTATAAGTCACTGTTAGGTTCTGGTGTTTGGAAGCATGCCAGCTTGTCACAGTCCCAGTTTGGCATTGGCCCAGTTTGTTACAGGCCTCGACTGTGCCCTGCATGGTGGAAGTTATCACTGACTCTCTCAAATAGAATAAATTAATGATTGATTGATTGTATGAATTGAATTTTACTGTTCAATTGTTTTCAACGAAAGAACATTCATTGTTGAAATTTTACAGAGTAATTGAAATTTACCTTGATTTGCATACAAAAAGGAAGAAATATTGAACCACACGAGCTGAATTGACATTTTAGAGGGACTATCTCTTCACCACCAATTTGAAGGTGAAGAATAAAAAACTTAAGTAACAACTACAGTGTTAAAGTGCTGTAATTATAACTGTCATCAATACTCAAATACATAAATGAAATTGTGACAAACTGGGCCTGTGACAGACTGGGCACCCCCCCCCCCACCCCCCTGGCGTCTAAGCTTAGCCTAGCGGTTGAAGTTCTTGTCGAAAAGTTAATTTAATACTTTTTGACAAGTGATTTGCTATAAACTGGCCCAAAGAGATAGTTGGACTCGGCTATCTATACCCTCTTTGCTATAATAATAGTCTAAAATAAAGGTTTTGTGTGTGTTTGTTTGGTGGTTTTTTGCAAAGGCAATTTAGAAAAGTCTTATTCAAAAACAAAAGAAAATCTCTGAAAATCCAGACAACAGCAAATGTGTTTAAATAAACACAGTTTTGTCTTGTGTCAGGATTGATAGCAACTTTTAGAAAAAGTATTGAAAGGGGCGCACATGAAAGTCAATGATATTATTATTGGCGTTAACCTCAGGACTCTATAAATAGGTGTAGATTTAATTATCGGGTGGCAAAGCATTTCTTCTTACTTACATGTTTTTCCGTCACCATAGAAGCCTTCCTTACAGACACACTGTAGGCCATCAGGGCTGCACACAGCGTGTAAATCACAACCGGTCTCATCGACTTGCTCGTTTATTACGCCACTGACGCACTGGGCTGTCCTCCTGCAGGCTTCAATAACCACAAACTCCTGATCCTGTGTAGAGGAATAGTGCCAAGGATATTGTAAGCTAAAAAACATAACTAAAACTTTACAAAGAAATAATTAAAGGCAGCGCAAATAGGTCATTTGAAAAGATGTTATAGATTTAAAAAATGGATGGCTGGATGGATGGATAGATAGATAGATAGATAGATAGAGGAGACTTAAGAGAGAGAGAGAGGGGGAGAGAGAGAGAGAGAGAGAGAGAGAGAGAGAGAGAGAGAGAGAGAGAGAGAGAGAGAGAGAGGGGGGGGGGGCTGAAAAGTGGCCAGGGTGCATGAGCCCGTAAAGTGAAGGATATAAGAAAGCAAAAAGGATAAAACTAGATATAGAAAAGACAATTTACTTTTGCTATAATAACTAGATCTACTCGTAAAATAATCTTACAAACTTCTACAACAACATCTTCAACAACAACAACAACCTCTTCTTATTCTTCAACAACAACAACAGCAGCAACAGCAGCAGCAGCAGCAACAACAACAACAACAACAACAACAAATAGCTCTATCAGTAGGCCTACTGAGTTACCTTGAGCCTGATCAATTCCCCATTTTCCATCTGAAGCGTGCACTCGTTGGTACACTCTTGCTCCGTGACACACTGCATCTCAGTGTTGAGGAAGAACCCATCGTTGCACACACACCCTGAACCGAGTTCATAGTCGGTGCAAATTGAGGCAGTGATAGCACTAGAGCACGTCGGCTGGCACTTGACCACATAAGAGGGTTCAAAGTGAGTATTGGGCTTTCCTTGACACTCCGTCTCCGGAGTTTTTTCTGAAAGGCACAACGAAAGCGTTCACTTTTACAGATTATTTAGATATCTAAGTTCAGTGAGCACTATTGCACTAGATATCTACACCCACTGTAAAACATGAAAGTCCTTTCAAATCAATGCAATTGTCACGTTCCGTTTCTGTGGTTTAACCATACACGCGTGTGGTTTACCAATGCACACCCACCTCATGTAGCGATCCAACTTGCACTGACTGGTGACAACTCTCTGTGCTGCACCTCGACTGCAACTCACGCGTTGTTCCACAGTCCGTGGCTCACGCCTCGGACTACCCTTCTTCTCTTCTTCAATGTCAATAGGTACCGTACTCGATTACTTTCCCGAAATCACACGCCCCCGTGATCTCAAGATCAAACAAAACAAAATAAACAACTCCAGTGTGCGAACAGGACATGGTTCAACGCTATCTACACTTTGTACTCTTGATTACTCCAAGAACTGATTTTCATAATCCACCAACCAACCGGGGGTTTTCCTGACTCGATCAGGATACCGCCAGGGAGGGGGTTCACCTGCACCTTCGTTTTTCGTCAGAGTCTGCAAGGTCTGAGGCTCACTGCCACCTCCCTGATCATCCTCCTCCTCTGAAGTTACATCTCGTACCACTCTTCTAACATCGAGAACGTGACGAGCCATACCATCGACAGCAACATTGTTGTACGTAACCGTACCTCTATTCCCCGTAGTTGTGCATTTGCTCTGGGGTGGTTTAACCCAAACATCATCTCCAACTTCAAATCTTCCTTGCCCGTCTTGAATTTCTTCTTCATTAACATCGATATGGTTTCTCCAATCAAAACGGTAGACAGCTCTCTGTGGCACTGATGTTGGGCCCAAACCTGCTCTTGGTGTTGAGTTGTACCAAAACACAGCTTCTTGCGGAGAAATGTTTCCTCTTTCTGCAATGGACTTCACTGTATACGGTGGTGTCTCTCAACAATCCCGTTCCCCGTAGGTCTATATGCAGCTCTGAACAATGGTTCGATATTCCATTTCTGAAGCATCTGCCAAAAACAATCGGAGTGAAACACTGTGCCAATATCCATTAAAATCTCGCGCACTGGTCCTCTCTCAAACATGAGTTCTTCAACTACTTCTGTCACAAACCCTGTTGTCTCTCTCTCTCTTAAGTTTCTTCCAAATTACAAATCACCCTCGGCCACAATAAAAAATTGACAGGTGTGGCACTTGATGATGGTGAGTTATATCTATTGCCAGTCTTGTCCAGTCTGTAGCGACATCTAGGTTGCCCGCCTCGTGGACAACTGGTGCAGGATCGATAGACTGACATTGCTCACAAGCTTGTACGACTTTTTTTACTTGCATGTGCATCTGTATGTTTATGTGTAAGTGCGTACTTGCGTGCGTGAGTGCATGCATATGGGCGTGCGTGTGTGAGTGCCCGTTCGCGTATACACGGGCGCGTTTTTGTGTGTATGTCTGTGCGTGTGTGTATTTATGTATGTGTGTGTGTGTTTGTGTGTGTGTGTTTGTGTGTGTGTGTGTGTGTGTGTGTGTGTGTGTGTGTGTATGCCTGTGCTCATGTACAAGTGTGCGTATGTGTGTGTATGTGTGTTTGCGTGTGTGTGTGTGTGTGTGTGTGAGTGTGTGTGTGTGTGTTTGTGTATGTGTTGTTTGTGTGTGTGTTTGGGGGGGGGGGGGGGCGAGTGTCATGAATGCATAATGCTCTATTATCTTATAAACCAGTTGTTTTTTTCCTCACGTTGACTTTTGAAAGTTGCTTTCTTTAAAATTGCGCGACTAACTGGATTTATACCAACATATCTACTTAAAAGGAAAAATAGCAAGAATCTCTTTATCATTTTTGTTTCTGGAACAAATAATGATAAATGTACAAGCCTATTATTATCGCAAATCATGAAAGGAAAGAAAACCCGTTGGGTACATCTTCCCCAATTACTTACGGCAGTTTGCGTAGTCACGCCATATGAAGTCCATTTCTGAGAAATCTCGCATTCCTAGATCTTTGAACACTTCCTCAATTGATGTCTCCATCTCAAAACAACGACCAAATTCAAACTCCGTCTCCCAGCAGTGATCGTTCACACATTCCTCAAGTAAAGTGTTAAAACGCTCTCTGTTACTTTCCCGCGCTTCGGGCTTTCCTCCCCCTAACTGTGGAGAGAAAACAAAGCAAAATCGTCTTTTAAGGTTAAAAACTTTGGATCTGCTTCCACGCCTTTATCAACACATAGACAATTTAGGAGGCTGACTGCACATCCTAGGGAAGGGCCAAATTACTGGCTAAAAATTATCCCCACGCGGGAATCAAACTTGGGTCTCCTGCGTACGGAAACAAAGCACCTAACCACGACACCACAGACTTTTTTTTTTGTTAGAGTTTTACGGTACTTGCAACACAATAAGGTCATATAAGGGCCGAAGATTAGAGGTGTTACAGGGGGTAACAAACACAAAAAAGGAAGGGGGATAAAGACGACATAAATTATGTCCGATAGGAAAGAAGGAGCAAACCACACCAGAGCACCCACCAACCACTCACACAGACTCTTTCCAAGGCTCAGTGTACGATTTTTCTACACCAATTTAGAATGAAATGCATTTAATGTGAATTATTGAACAGATGAGTAGTGGACGGTGTGTTTGGAAAGGTTGGTAGAGGGAAAGAGGGGGGGGGGGTGTCTATTTGATATTTCGTGTATGTGACGGTCTGTTGATAAGCCTCATGTTGTAAGAGCCTGAGGCAAAACATCAGAGAGAGGGAAGAAGAAGAAGAGAGAGAGAAGAAGAAGAAGAAGAAGAGAAAGAAGAAGAAAGAGAGAGGAGGAGGGAGTGGGGAAGTAGAGGGAAAGAGGGGGGGTTGAAACGGTAGAAACTGAGGGTTGGGAGGGAGAATGAGAGGGGGTAAGACAGAGATGTTCGCTATATTTAAAAGTTTTTTTTGGGGGGTGGGACCATTCAGTCTGCTGTCGATACATTTTTGCTTTTATTTTTGTATGGCGGTTTTTAAAACTTGTTTGGTCTTGGGTGGATTTGGACGATATTGGTAGGCTTTTCAGTTGACTAGAATTCAGATTTCTTTTTAAGGGATTAGGATTTTGTGTGTGTGTCGAAAAGGGGGGTGGGGGTATAGAGGCTTCTCTTCTCAATTGACCGTAGGCTTTTTTTGGTTTTTCTATTTTTTTCTTGTGGGAGTATGTGTGTGTGTG